GTAACACACCCGCTTTAAGGACACTGACTGCTATTCAATCTATAACAGTGAAAAAAGATTATTTTTTTTTAAAATGTATGCTATTGTGACACCAGATCGAATTAGTGGCACTGGTCACCGTATCCACTGTTAGCGTAACACACCCGCTTTAAGGACACTGACTGCTATTCAATCTATAACAGTGAAAAAAGTGTTTTGTTTTTTTAATCCAAGCTTTGTGTCACCAGATCTAATTGGTGGCACTTGTCAGCGTATCCACTGTTAGCGTAACACACCCGCTTTAAGGACACTGACTGCTATTCAATCTATAACAGTGAAAAAAAGAGTTTTTTTTTTTTAAATCCAAGCTATTGTGACACCAGATCTAATTAGTGGCACTGGTCAGCGTATCCACTGTTAGCGTAACACACCGCTTTAAGGACACTGACTGCTATTCAATCTATAACAGTGAAAAAAGTGTTTTGTTTTTTTAAATCCAAGCTTTGTGTCACCAGATCTAATTGGTGGCACTGGTCAGCGTATCCACTGTTAGCGTAACACACCCGCTTTAGGACACTAACTGCTATTCAATCTATAACAGTGAAAAAAATTTTTTGTTTTTTTTAATCCAAGCTATTGTGACACCAGATCTAATTAGTGGCACTTGTCAGCGTATCCACTGTTGGCGTAACACACCCGCTTTAAGGACACTGACTGCTATTCAATCTATAACAGTGAAAAAAGTGTTTTGTTTTTTTAAATCCAAGCTTTGTGTCACCAGATCTAATTGGTGGCACTGGTCACCGTATCCACTGTTAGCGTAACACACCCGCTTTAAGGACACTGACTGCTATTCAATCTATAACAGTGAAAAAGATTTTTTTTTTTTTAAATCCAAGCTATTGTGACACCAGATCTAATTAGTGGCACTGGTCAGCGTATCCACTGTTAGCGTAACACACCCGCTTTAAGGACACTGACTGCTATTCAATCTATAACAGTGAAAAAAGATTATTTTTTTTTTAAATCCAGCTATTGTGACACCAGATCTAATTAGTGGCACTTGTCAGCGTATCCACTGTTAGCGTAACACACCCGCTTTAAGGACACTGACTGCTATTCAATCTATAACAGTAAAAAAGTTTTTTGTTTTTAAATCCAAACTATTGTGACACCAGATCTAATTAGTGGCACTTGTCAGCGTATCCACTGTTAGCGTAACACACCCGCTTTAAGGACACTGACTGCTATTCAATCTTATAACAGTAAAAAAAGTTTTTTGTTTTTAAATCCAAGCTATTGTGACACCAGATCTAATTAGTGGCACTTGTCAGCGTATCCACTGTTAGCGTAACACACCCGCTTTAAGGACACTGACTGCTATTCAATCTATAACAGTAAAAAAAGTTTTTTGTTTTTAAATCCAAGCTATTGTGACACCAGATGTAATTGGTGGCACTGACTGGGGAAATGGGCACAGTATGCACTGTGAGCCTGACACAGAAGCTGGCAGCAGTGGCAGACAACTGACTGCTATTCAATCTATAACAGTGAAAAAAGTTTTTTGTTTTTAAATCCAAGCTATTGTGACACCAGATGTAATTGGTGGCACTGACTGGGGAAATGGGCACAGTATGCACTGTGAGCCTGACACAGAAGCTGGCAGCAGTGGCAGACAACTGACTGCTATTCAATCTATAACAGTGAAAAAAGTTTTTTGTTTTTAAATCCAAGCTATTGTGACACCAGATGTAATTGGTGGCACTGACTGGGGAAATGGGCACTGTGAGCCTGACACAGAAGCTGGCAGCAGTGGCAGACAACTAAGTGCATTTACATTACATAGAAAAAAATAAATAAAAAAAAAGCATACCCTTATCCCTAACCTAGCTATGCTTTTCCCTATCTTATGAACAGCAGCTACACTTTCCCTCCTCTTACTAAGCATGCAGCTTGAGAATGAATCTAAAATGGATGCCTTCCAGTAGGTGGGAGGGTCTGCTAGGGAGGCTGTGCTGCTAATTGGCTGGAATGTGTCTGCTGACTGTGAGGTACAGGGTCAAAGTTTATTCAATGATGACGAATAGGGGGCGGGTCGAACCGCGCATATGTTCGCCCGCCGTGACGAACGCGAACATGCTATGTTCGCCAGGAACCGTTCGCCGGCGAACCGTTCGGTACATCACTAATCTGGATTTAAAAAACAATAGGAAGTGAAAGGAATCAATGATTATAATATTTTTCTTTTTGATATCTCGTATTGAAAATAGGGAGCAGGAGTCAATTCAATTTGAAAATACCGAAGATACCTAAAAATAAAAGGGAAAAATGTGGGCAATTGACCACTTACTCACCCCTTCCACCTTCAAAAGAACAAATGTGGAAAAACCAAAGCTCTCATCATTTAATGGAAAAAAAAGGGATATAAAAAAAAAAAAGGAAACAATGGAATGGGTCAGTGGGTCATCTCTTTTCTTTCTTTTTTTTAAAAATCCCCTGTTTTCAAATTAAATTACACCAGTTGTTGCCTCCGATCTTTTCAAATACCTGCCATTGTAGTGGTTTTATTGTAGTGGTTTCATTGTAGTGGTTTTATTGTAGTGGTTTTATTGTAGTGGTTTCATTGTAGTGGTTTTATTGTAGTGGTTTTATTGTAGTGGTTTCATTGTAGTGGTTTTATTGTAATGGTTTCATTGTAGTGGTTTTATTGTAGTGGTTTCATTGTAGTGGTTTTATTGTAGTGGTTTGTCCCTGCCTGACTGACTCTTTCTGTGCTGGTAGCCGATGCTGACGCATTTTGAAGAAGCAGATAGGGCATAGTATGTTTTCCCAACACCGACAGATGGCCACGGGCGTTTCAGACTGCATGTGAGGGAAAGATTTATTTTCTCAGCGTGAGACCAGGGGTTGGTGGGCCATCAATTGCATACTGACTTTGTCCTTTCGTTTTTTTTAAAAATCCTCTTTATTCAAATTAGATGATTCCACTTTTTTACAATGACTTTCATTGTAGAGGTTTTGTTCCGTCTGGCTGTAGGGGCCTTTCATTGTAGGGATTTCGCCCTACAATAATTTTTCTGGAGGGGGGGGCATAATTGTAATGACATCAGTGCTTGGCCCCTTTTTGCAGAGGACTGGACTGGGGATACAAAGCAGTCCTGGAAAAAAAAGATGTATTTCAGTCCACAAAACAAGGACAGAAGGTGCCTGTAGTGAGTGTGTTAAAAATGATAAGTTTAGAGTCATGTCTACAAATGCTCACAGCTTAGGGAATAAGATCCATGAACTTGTGGCAATAATGGCAACTGATAGTGTAGATTTAGTCGCTGTTACTGAGACATGGTACAATGAGAAAAATGACTGGGACATAGCAATACCAGGGTACTCTTTATATAGGAAAGACAGGGAAGGCAGGAAAGGGGGAGGGGAGGCCCTATATGTGAAGGATAGCATAAAATCTAGCCTAATAAATGTTACTGAGACAAACATAGAGTCCGTTTGGGTTACATTAGAATTTGGTAATCACACAGTAACTCGTGTAGGTGTGATTTATAGGCCCCCAGGACAAATTGAAGAGTTAGATAATCTACTAGTTGAGGAAATAGCTAAAATGACAATGAAGGGGGAAGTTATCATCATGGGTGACTTTAATCTTTCTGATGTTAACTGAAATTCCAAAATAGCTGCTTGTGCCAGGAGCACACATATTCTAAACTCCCTACTGGGATTGTCTCTAAAAAAAGTAATTGAGGAGCCAACTCGTAAAGAGGCCATACTAGATTTAGTGTTAACAAATGGAGATTTGGTATCACATATTACTGTAGGTGAAAGTTTAGCATCCAGTGATCATCAGTTAGTGTGGTTTAATATAAGAACAGTGACTGAGTCACACCACACAAAAACAAAAGTTTAGACTTTTGAGAAACAGACTTTTCTAAACTTAGAAAATGTGTAAAGGAGTCATTATTAGACTGCAGCAAAATTTAATGGAGTCCAAGAGAAATGGGATTATTTAAAAGTTGCACTGCTGGAAGCAACAGAACATTGCATTAGGCTTGTCAGTAAAAGCTAAACATTTAAGAAACCACTGTGGTTCTCCACAGATGTGGCCAAAATAGTAAAAAACAAAAAGTTAGCATTTAGGAATTATAAAATAAAACAGAGTGAGGAAGATAGAATGATCTATAAGATTAGGCACAAAGAGGCTAAGCAAGTTATAAGAGCTTCCAAATCACACACAGAAGAGAAAATAGCACAGTCAGTAAAAAAAGGGGACAAAACATTTTGTAGATACACAAATGAGAAAAGGAAAGAAAACAAGGATTAGTTAGAGTAAAAACAAAAGAAGGAGGGTATGTAGAAGAGGATAAAGGCCTAGCTGACTGCCTCAATAAATATTTTTTGTTCAGTATTTACAGATGAAAATGAAGGAAAGGGACCTCAGTTAGGAAAAAGGACAAATGAGTCATTTATTACACGTGAGTTTACCGAGGAAGAGGTTCTATTTCAACTGTCAAAAGTAAAGACAAATAAGTCAATGGGACCTGATGGAATACACCCAGAGTTATTAAAAGAGTTTAGTGGTGTACTAGCAAAACCATTAACAGATTTATTTAACCAATCATTGTTCACAGGAGTAGTCCCAGAAGAAGTTAGCGAATGTTGTGCACATTCACAAGAAAGGTAGTAGGGAGGAGTCGGGCAACTATAGGCCAGTAAGCCTTACTTCAGTAGTGGGGAAAGTGATGGAAACCATGTTAAAGGATAGGATTGTTGAACATCTAAAAACACATGGATTTCATGATCAGAGACAGCATGGGTTTACTTCAGGGAGATCATGCCAAACTAATCTTATTGATTTTTTTGATTGGGTAATTAAAAAAATAGATCAGGGTGGTGCAGTAGACATTGCTTACCTAGA